ATAGGTTTAAGTAAATTGAACATTTGAATCCCAGAGCGTCTTGAGTTAATCTGCTTAAACTCGGCTTGTGAGCTGTTTAGACAAATTTTTCAGCCGGACTTTCTGGCTTGCTGGCCAGTTATGCATTTCAGTGGGTGAGATTTTTCGGAACCGCGGGGACAAGTGGACAAAACGATTCATATGCTTCCCGTTGCTTCAATGGATGCTATTGAATATCAAGGGTGCTATGCCGATTTGAGCGCGCACGATCGGTTTCAAACTTTTCTTCCAAAGCCGGCTGTCTCGAAGCTTCAGTCTGCACGAAGCCGAGACAAGTCTTTGAGTTGGCGAGCTGCTTGCTTCAGCTCTTAATCTGTACATGGCTTTCCAGACATTGCTGTAGTCGCGGACTGCGTTCATCAAGTCGCAGCCTACATGTCATGACGTTCAAAGTAGCCTTCACGACTCGCCCATGCACAAAGTTCGTCATTGAATGGTGGGCCCATTGAGATGTCGCCCTCAACCCGCTTCATGAGCCATTTCTTCAAGCTCTTACGGCGGTTTCGATTGGCTTCCAAAGACTCCCGGCAAGTAGCTGTCGGGCAATACCCATGACCGTGACCTCTGAAGGATTTGCCACATGTGGGGCAAGACTTGTGAAAGCTTCGCAGGAATGCATCCTCGATGAAGGGATCTTCGTTCTGCAGTCGGGAATATTCACGGAGCACGGCGTTGGCGTAGTTGTCGCCGTAGAAGCCTCCATTCATGCGAAAGTTCGCCCAAAACCACAACTTCGGGTTCTCCTTCGCGATTCGATCCCATTGTTGAGTGCGATTTTCATGGGTTCTCTTCAATGATGCAGTGTAGCGGTGCAATCTACCAAGCTTGTTGCGACGCCAAGCCATTTTCTTCCATTGTGCCACCGCTCGCTTCTTGCTGCGCTTTGTCGAGGGAGAAGGTTGCTCCCGGTTGGACTTGCGGACAGCAAATGTGCTGTTGCCGCGCAAAGCTTCCAGCTGGGTTGCTGGCAAGGTGGTCAGCGAGCTGTGTTCGAAAGCCAGGTCATAAATTGGCGAGCTCATACCCCGCCACTTCTTCAGTGCGCGAACGACACTGCCAACGCCTTGAGGTGTTGCAACAGCTTTGCGCATGCCCTCTGGGCTGCAGAAGATGCATTTGTCACTTGTGCTCTTGATTTGCGCAGTCTGCCCTAGGCCATCAAGCGCAAACATGCAGGGCCGCGCATCGCTGCCGCAATCCATGTCAAAGCCAGTGCACCATCGAGGCATGGCTGGCGGAGCTGCGCAATGACTAGCTATCTCCCTGGCGCCCACAAACGTTTTGAACCAACACCTGCGGTCATTCACACAAGCTTGCTTTCAAGCCTGCTGCGTATGCAAACCTACGAAGTGCTCGAGGAATTGAAATTGCGGCGGGTCTTTGGGGGCCTAACAGAGGCGAAGCTTTTTGGAGAGGTGAAGCCTGGAGGGAGCAAATTTTGGGTTTGGGGGCCAATTTTGGGCTTTAGGGGCCAAATATGGGCTTGGCAACCAATTTTGGGCACTGGGAGCCGATTTTGGGCTGCGGAAGCTAATTTTGGGCTTGGGAGAAAAATTTGGGCTTTGGAGACAATTTTGGGCCAATTTTGGGCTTTGGAGCCAATTTTGTTTGGGCTGGAGGCCATTTTGGTGGCAGATTTTTGCAATTTTGGGCTGTGGAAGGCAATTTTGGGCTTTGGAGCCAATTTTTGGGCTTGGAGCAAATTTTGGGCTTTGGGGGCCAATTTTGGGCTTTGGGCTTTGGGGGCCAATTCTGGCTTTGGGAAGCGATTTGGGCTTTGGGAGCCAATTTGCGGCTTTGGGGAAGCACAAGTTTTGGGCTTTGGGAGCCAATTTTTGGAGCCAATTTTGGGCGGTTTGGGAGCTAATTTTGGGCTTTGAGAGCCAGTTTTTGGCTTTGGAAGCTAATTTTGGGCTTTGGGAGCCAATTTTGGGCTTTGGGAGCAAAAGTTGGGCAAGCCAATTTTGGGCTTTGGCAGCCAATTTTGAACTTTGGCAGCCAATTTGCGCATTGGGAGCCAGTTTTGGGCTTTGGGAAGCCATGAAAAGCGAATTTGGGGTTTTGGAAGCCAATTTGGGCTTTGGGAGGCGATTTGGGCTTTGGTTTGCCGGGACCCGGGAAGGCCCCAGAGGTTTAAGTAAATTGAACATTTGGCCTTCCGGCCTCCCGCTTTGGATTAATTTACTTAAACTCTGTTTGTCAGCTGTTTAGACAAATATCTCGGAAAATTCAGAATGATACCACATACAATTTCTATTTATTTTGTCTTGAGGGTTTAGGGTTTAGGGTTTAGGGTTTAGGGTTTAGGGTTTAGGGTTTAGGGTTTAGGGTTTAGGGTTTAGGGTTTAGGGTTTAGGGTTTAGGGTTTAGGGTTTAGGGTTTATAGAAATTGTATAGGGTTTGGGTCCCAATAACGTTTTGACCGAAACGTTTTGAGCGAAAGTTTTGAGCGAAAGTTTTGACCGAAACGTTTTGACCGAAACTTTTTTTTTTGGAACCACATTTTTATTTTTGGAAGGGCGGGGGCTGGGTGGCAGGGGCGAGCCTCGGGAGGCCCGGGGCCTGATTTGGGGCCTTGGAGCTTTGTGGCTTCTTGGCATCCTTTGGGGGCCTTCTGGGCCTCCTGCGGCCTTGGCTGGGGCTGGGGCTGGGGCTGGGGCTGGGGCTGGGGCTGGGGCTGGGGCTGGGGCTGGGGCTGGGGCTGGGGCTGGGGCTGGGGCTGGGGCTGGGACTGGGACTGGGGGGCTGCGGCTGGGGGGCTCTCTGGGGCATTGTTGCGGCGGGTTTGGGACGGGGGCCCGGAAGGCCCCAGACAGAGGTTTAAGTAAATTGAACATTTGGCCTCCCGGCCTCCCGCTTTGGATTAATTTACTTAAACTCTGTTTGTCAGCTGTTTAGACAAATATCTTGGAAAATTCAGATTGATACCACATACAATTTCTATTTATTTTGTCTTGAGGGTTTAGGGTTTAGGGTTTAGGGTTTAGGGTTTAGGGTTTAGGGTTTAGGGTTTAAGGTTTAGGGTTTAGGGTTTAGGGTTTAGGGTTTAGGGTTTAGGGTTTAGGGTTTAGGGTTTAGGGGTTTAGGGTTTAGGGTTTAGGGTTTAGGGTTTAGGGTTTAGGGTTTAGGGTTTAGGGTTTAGGGTTTAGGGTGTAGCACGGGTCAGCTGTACGCAATTGTGTGTAGACATGCACACCCCAAAGGCCACCCAAACACTACTTGCAGCGAAACAAACCAGAGCCAGCCGAATTAAAGCCAGCCCACATTCAAACACTTCTGCACTCAATGTTGTACTTCGGTCCAGCATCCAATGTGTCTTGATGTCAATTTGCTATAAAGATGCCTTGCTGCATGGTAACATTTAAGAAGCTGCCTTGGAAATAGAACCTCCTGTTGCTAGAAAGGAGCCTTATGGAAGTCATGCCTGAAGCTTGCAGGAGAAAATTCAGGTTTTGCGCAGGGGACATCTTCGGCCGGAGGGCCTTCTCATTGTTTCTGTTCCCTATGTTGGAGTGTCAAGGCTACATGGCGAAAGACTTGCTGCTAGGAAGATGCCTTGTGAAAGGTATGTCTAAAAGCTTGCGAGAGAAAATTCAGGTTTGCGCTGGGGGACGTCTTCGGCCGGAGGGCCTTCTCATTGTTTCTATTCTCTATGCCGGTGTGTGTCTAGAAGTTTGCGAGAGAAAAATTCAGGTTTTGCGTTGGGGGACGTCTTCGGCCGGAAGGCTATGCCGGAATGTCAAGGCTGCTTGGCGAAAGACCTGTTGCTAGAAGGGTGCCTTGTGAAAGTCACGTCAAGAAACTTGTAGCAAAAAAAACAGGTTTTGCGCTGAGGGACGTCTTCGGCCGGATGGCCTTCTCATTGTTTCTATTCTCTACGCCGGCGTGTCTCTAGAAATTTGCGATGGAAAAATTCAGGTTTTGCGCTGGGGGACGTCTTCGGCCGGAGAGCCTTCTCATTGTTTGTATTCTTTAGAAATTTGCAGGAGAAAATCAGGTTTTGCGCAGGGGGACGTCTTCGGCCGGAGGGCCTTCTCATCGTTTCTAATCCTATGCCGGTGTGTGTGTGTCTAGAAGTTTGCGATAGAAAAATTCAGGTCTTGCGCTGGGGGACGTCTTCGGCCGGAGGGCCTTCTCATTGTTTCTATTCTCTATGCCGGGGTGCGTCTAGAAGAAAAATTCAGGGTTTGCGCAGGGGCCTCCCAGAACCTGGCTCCAAAACTTCGGAGAGCCTTGAGGGCTTTCAACCTCCCAGAACCCTTCCAGGGCCTCCTAAAAGCCTTTCAGTGGCCGGCCGCTGTCGGGAGGCCCTCCAGAGGGTCCAAGGAGGCCTCCAGGAAAGGCCCAATCCAGAAAGAAACACCTGCCGCGAGAAAATTCAGGTTTTGCGCTGGGGGACGTCTTCGGCCGGAGGGCCTTCTCATTGTTTCTATTCTGTTTAGAAGTTTGCTCAGGCTTAGAGCCTCCTAGGGGCCTCTTAGAGCATTTCAGGCGCCTCCAGGGGCCTCTCAAGGGGCCTCCCAGCGGCAGGGGCCTCCCAGAACCCTCCTAGGGGCCTCCAGGGCCCAGGGGCTGCTCAGGAGCCTCCCAGGCGCCTCCCACAGGGGCCTCCCAGGGGCCTCCCACAGGGGCCTCCCAGGGGCCTTTCAGGGGCTCCCAGCCTCCCAGGGGCCTCCCAGGGGCAGGGGCCTCCCAGGGGCCTCCCAGGGGCCTCCCGAGAGACAAAACGCAATTTTTGAGCAGTGGCCCAGGCTGAGCCCGAAAAAGGGCCTCTGGTCCAGCGAACAAGGCCGCAGTCGGCACCGCCCCCAGAGGGGCCCCGGAGGCCTCCAGGGGGGCCCCAGGCCAGGCTAGCAAAACACCTCCCGCAAGCAAAGGCTCGGTTTTAGGGTAATAGAATATACTAGGGACTGTGCTTGGCGACCAAGCTTGGCGACCCCTTCAGGGGTGTGCCTGCAGGCCCGATCAGCCTAGATCGGGCCTGCGTGGTCTCGCTGAGCGC